CAGACAGCACACAGTATACACCAGAGACACTTGCTAAAGTGCCAGGCCCTGGAGAGTATATTACCTCTTCATAAAGCCATTACTCTCAGGAGCAGGGAATATAACAGGCTTTCCTAACATACAGAAGAAGCAGAGACTTAGGAAAAAAATGCCAAAATGGAGGAATTCATCCCAAAAGAAACATTGAAACATAAGATAAAAGACCTAAAAATTAGGTCAAGATAAAAAATGCTGTAACCAAGATGCAAAACTGACTTGATGTATTAACAACAAGGATGAATGAAGCAGAGGAATGAATCAGTGATATAGATGATAACATTATGGAAAATAATGAAGCTGAAAAGAAGAGGGAAAGAAAAGTATTGGATCATGATTGTAGACTTAGGGAACTCAACAGCTCCATAAAGCATAATAACATCCATATCATAGGAGTCCTAGAAGAAGAAGAGAGGGAAAAAGGAGCAGAACGTTTATTTGAGGAAATTATAGCTGAAAACATCCCTCATCTAAGGGATGGAAACTGACCTCAAATCCAGAAACCACAGAGAACTCCCATCAAAATCAAGAAAAGCAGGCCAACACCAAGATATATCATAGTAAAATTTGCAAAATACAGAGATGAGGGGGAAAAAACTAGGGTACTTGGAGACAGTATAATATATTATTCATCACTAAAAAGAAATGAGCTATTAAATCATGAAAAGACATGGAGGAATCTTAAATACATATGACTGGTGAAAGAAGCTAATCGAGAAAGGCTACATACTATATGATTCCAACTGTATGACATTCTGGAAAAGGTAAAACTATGGAGGTTATAAAAGGATCATTTATTGTCAGGGGGATAAGGGGTATGGATGAATAGAAGGAACACAGAGGATTTTTAGAGTGGTAAAAATGCTCTGTATGATACTATAATGGTGGATAAATGTTATATATGTATACATACATACGTAAGGATTTGTCCAACTCATGGAATGTGTAACAGCAAGAATGAACTCTAACGTACACTATAGGATGACTATGATGTGTAAATTTAGGTTCATCAGTTTTGGTGTTTTTTTGTTTGTTTGTTTTTTTACTGTTTATTCATTTTTGAGAGCGAGAGAGAGCACACACGCACAAGTGGGGGAGGGGCAGAGAGAGAGGGAGAAGAATCCAAGGCAGCAGGCTGACCTGCCAGCACAGAGCCTGATGCAGGGCCCAAATTCATGAACCACAAGATCATGACCTGAGCCAAAGTCAGATGCTTAACTGACTGAATCACCCAGGTGCCCCTCATTAGGTCTTATCATAATCATAGCATATTTGATCAGATGACTCAAATGTATAATTTTTAATTTGGAAAACAATTTATTCTCTTGATTCAAACTAATGGTGTTATATAATAATATCATAAGATCTGGGATGATATAAAGCAGATTTGAAGTTATTTCCTCAGTAAGAATTTTTATAGTAGAATAACTTCTGCTGAAAGCATAAGAAATTATAAATACCTAAATTATCTGCATATTTTAGAAATTCATAGCAGCTGCTAAAAAATGATTTCCATACCATTAGAATTTAACATTAATAACAATTTAAAGTACTACTACAAAAAAATAATAAAGTGCTATTTCATTACAGGTTGAACCTCCAAATAGGTACTTCTTTCTAGCTCATTTGAAATGCATTTTTCGGAGCACCTGGGTGGCTCAGTCAGTTAAGCGTCCAACTTCAGCTCAGGTCATGATCTCATGGTTTGTGGGCTCAAGCCCTGCATCAGGCTCTGTGCTGACAGTTAGCTCAGAGCTTGGAGCCTGTTTCAGATTCTGTACCTCCCTCTCTCTCTCTGACCCTTCTCTGCTCACGCTGTCTCTGTCTTTCTTTCTCTCAGAAATAAATAAAACATTAAAAAAGTTTTAAAACATATTGAAATCCATTTTTCTTAGAGCTAAATTCTGTAGGTTTTGCTTATATGTAAACATCTCACATTAACTTTTGACTATTTTTTAAAATGGAAATCTTTTTTTTTTGCCATTATAGTTTTTTGTTTATGTAATTTAACCAATTCTTTCCCAACTAGAAAACATATTCTTTTAAATGGAAATGGCTATGTTGTTTTTCACTTATTTTAATAGTAATACATGTCCGAGTTAAAAAAAATTAGAAAACTAAAAACATGAAAAAAACTCTGTAATCCTACTATCCAGAAATAATTGTTAATTTATTGTATAACCATCTAGGCATTTTCTATGCACAAAACACAGGTTTTAAATAAAAATAATGTGCTCCTTTTGTACATACTGCTTCATAATGTTCTTTTTTTCTACTTTACATTGAATCATGGACATTTTTGTATAAATACTGATTTCATTGTTACTTTTAATTGCATAAGTTTCATTATAAGCATGCCATCATTTTTGATGTAGTTTTTCTATTTATGGTGATCATTTAAGTTTTATTTTTCTTGAAAAAGAGCCACATGAATAGATTGGGAAAGATTTCCATGAAGTATGGTTTAGTCAAAAAAGCAACATGCAGTATTGCATGTTAGCAAAACAATAAAATAACACTCTGTATGTGTTTGTGTGAATGTAGAAAAATAAGAGTGGATAAAAATACAGCAAGATTCAAGAATAATTCAAGGATATATTCTAGATCTAGGATATACAGAGAGGGTACTGCTGTGGGTGTTAGACAAGGGAGGAAAAGATATTAGGGGAAGTAAAGAAAAAAAGCAATGTTTAGCACTAAGACATTAACACATATGTGCTATCATATATTTTGTTAATAAAAATTATGTATAAAGTAGGCATATGTTTAAGTGACTCAATCTAAAAATTTTTTCTTTACTTAAAAATAGCCAGATCAGGTCATGATCTCATGGTTCCTGAGATTGAGCCCTGCATCAATTGAGCCCTGCTGACAGCACAGAGCCTGCTTGGGATTCTCTCTCGGTCCCTCCTCTACCAGCTTATGTGCTCATCCTCCCCCTCTCCCTCTCCCTCTCCCTCTCCCTCTCTCTCCCTCCCTCCCTCTCTCTCTCTCTACCTCTATCTGCCTCACTCTGTCTCAAAATAAATAAGTAAACTAAAAAATAAATTAAAAGGCCAGAATAAAAAAATGAGATGAAAATAATGGATCCAAGGTTGATGCCTAATAACCTCAGATGTAACCATTTTTTAAATTGGCCATTAAAAAAGTTTGTAAATTTTGACTCTTACATATCAGACTTTATGAACATATTTGCATATATCTCTGTATACTTTTCCAGTTATTTTCTAGAATAAATTCTTTTTTTTTTTTTTTTTTTTTTTTTTTTNTAGTTTATTGTCAAATTAGTTTCTACATAACACTCAGTGCTCATCCCCAAAGTGCCCTCCTCCATGCCCATCCCCCCTCCCCCCCACATCCATCAGTCCTCAGTTTTTGTCAGCATAGAATAAATTCTTAGGAGTACAGTTCCTGGGACAAAAGTTTTTTTTTCTCCATTTATTTATTTATTTTGAAAGAGACAGAAGGAGAGTCAGGGTCAGAGAGAGAGGGAGAAAGAATCCCAAGCTCAAACTCATATGGGGCTCAAACTCATAAACCACAAGATTATGACCTGAACCAAAACTAAGAGTCAGATGCTTAACCGACTGAGCCACCCACATGCCCCCAAAAGGGTATTTTTAAAGGTTAGATAAGATAACCTTTAAGATAAAGGTTAGACTGATAAGTTACCTTTTAGTTAGGTTGTATCTGTTTGTATTTCAATCAATAGTTTATGAGAATGCCTGTTTCTTCACAACTTCGTCAATGCTAGGTATTTTCAATCTTTCTAATTTTTGAATATATGATGTAATAAAATAGCATCTTGCTATTTTATTTTTCTTTGACTACTAGTTATGTTTATTAATTTTTCATATGTCAGAAGTTTTACTTTTTGTTTTGCAGATTGTTCTTTACCCATTTTCCTTTTGGTTTTTAACTGTCTTATTGACTTACAAGGACTTTTTGTATAGAGAGGCTATTTAGCTTTTATCATATATGTTGTAAAACATATTTCTAAGTGTGCCATTCATATTTTAAATTTGTTTATGACATTTTGAGGTGAAGAAGTTTCGACTTAACTTTAATTCTATTGATCACTTCCTTTTATAGTCTCTGGGTTTTGAGTCATGCTGAAAAAGACTTTAACTCAAAAATGTTATATTTACATGTTTCCTATTAGTACTTTTATAGTCTCATTTTTACATTAAATGCTTTAAAATATATTGAATTAATTTTTGCCCAAGGAATGAAGTAACTTTTCCATAATTAACCAAGTGATCCCAGCATTAATTATTGACTTGTCCATCTTGAAAGAGCCTTGCCTTTTTAAAAACTGAGAAACCATCTCTTCTTTTTTCTCTGCTCCTGTATTTCTAGAGGGAAACCGCTAAAATTGGTGTGTAACTAAAAGCAGGGAAGAAAGAAACTAGGAAGTAGCAATTCTAAACATGTTCAGAAGTAACTGTATGACAAGTTAGAATCTACCTTTTATAGCTCTATGTTCAACCCTGTGAATAGACCTGGGCTTTAAAATTTTTTTTAATGTTTATTTATTTTTGAGAGAAAGAGAGAGAGCAAGAGCAAGAGTGAGCACGCGAATGAACCAGGGAGGGGCAGAGAGGGGGAGACACAATCCAAAGCAGGCCTTAGGCTCTGAGCTGTCATCACAGAGCCCGACGTGGGGCTCCAACCCACAAACGGTGAGATCATGACCTGAGCTGAAGTCTGATGCTCAACTGACTGAGCCACTTAGGCATCCCTAGACCTGAGCTTTTATATCCCTTCAGTTTCTTGGCACAGGTGAGAATAGCAAGGCAGTTCTCTTAAGTCCTGGTTGAAGTGGTCACAGTCCTGGTTACACTGGGTACATGAATTTGTGCATGTTTAAAGGGGCAATGGGCTTAGTGAGGCTAAGGATTGACTATGTAGTATTATAAGTGATTGGATCAGGTTTTAATTTTTAAAATAATTTTCCCTCTTAGGACAGAGCCATATACTTTTCTTCCTACTCCTGCTAAGTACCCATCTATCCCTTCAAAGTATACTGTGGGCACTCAGACCGATTATCGGGATGCTGAAGTTCAAACAGATCCATATTCTCCAGAATATGTAGTATGTCAGGATTCAATCCCTGAGCTCTTGACCCTGGCTACTCTTACTTGGGGTGAGTTGGTAATTGTCTTGAATATTTGTAGATGCCTGTTCTAATAACCATGCATGCTATTGAGTTGCTAGAAATGATGTACTTAGAAGCAACTGTAGTATTAAGTGTTGCTATTTTAAATGTCTTGCTCAACAGAGCTAATTCATGGACTTTTTCTGATACTTAGTTCAAAGAGAGGTATACTCTTTTCATTGTAAGAAGGCTTATTGTGCTTTATTCCTGCAGACTGAAGTTTTATTTTGACTTAATTTTTGTGGTTGCTTTGCTGACTACTCACCTCCCTGTTCTGTTTTTTTTCTAGTGAATCAATTCCTTTTCATTGAGCAATCCTTACTCCTTCTTTACACATAAGCCTTCTTTGAGTGTATAATGCTGAATGCATATTCCAACATCTATAACAGTATTATCTTTGCTAAAATATCTTGCAATTTACCAAAGCTCTCTTACATATTCTTTTGGATAATTTGGATGATTTATTTTTTAATTAAAAAAATTTTATTGTTTATTTATTTTTGAGAGAGAGAGAGAGACAGAGTGTGAGCAGGGGAGGGCCAGAGAGGAGGAGACACAGAGTCTGAAGCAGGTTCTAGGCTCTGAGCTGTCACACAAAGCCCAATACGGGGCTCAAACTCAGACTGCGAGGTTGAGACCTGAGCTGAAGTCGGATGCTTAACCAACTAAGGCATCCAGGTTCCCTAGATGATTTCTTTTGATATTACCTCTGAAATGCTAATATAGTTTAGGCTCAGAAATTCACTCTTAGATGGCATTAAAATCTGACCTAGGCCTATATTATGTGAACTTAGAAAAATTAATAAGAAAAGGGGCTTTTAGAAATGACTGAACATTAGCTTGTTGAACTCACTTGATTGTATCTGGGAAACTGAGGACCAGAGAGGCCACCTCCTCCCAGGTTATGGAGATAGTTGGTACGCTATAATGATTTTTATTAAAATGAGATTAATTTTGTTTCCCAGGTGTGATGATTTGCTGTGATCAAATCTGTGTCATAGGCAATGAAGACTTTCATATCTGAGCTCTAGTTTTGATTCTTGTTTCCTGCCTCACCTTATGATTTCAGATGAAGCATTTTTGACATCCATACTTTATAGCAGAGGCTCTACTTTCAGGCCTAGATGGCAGATTAAAAATAAGCTGAAACCTTTCCCTTCTGCTCTGAGCACCTAAAATATGCCCCCCCCCACACACACTAATAAACACATAACCACACTTTTTTTTTTTTTTTAAAGTAAAAATTTCCATACTTCAGAAGTGGAGACTATGTCCTAAAAGAAAAAAGTAGCTGAGAATCTATGATGGTGAGCAGGGACTGGGATAGTGGGGAGCTAGATCCAAGTTACCTGTCTGGACTAGAGGAAGCAAGCCTTTTCTCTTGACCACAGGTGGTACTGAAGCCCAGTGCCTTCCAATACAGAGGCTGAAGTGTCAATAAAAACTGCTGTGAGTCAGGCCTACTTCCTCATTTGTGAGGCCCTGAATAGGAGTTTAAATGGAGGCCCACATGCCATATGTATAGATGTTTAAATATTATAAATCAAGTTAATATCTATTAAGTAAAATATGTTCTGTATTTTTCACAAATATATCTTTATAACAAGTTGAAAGGACAAGTTTAAAATTCTAGGATTCCTTGGGATTCTGTGGTGGAAGGTAAGTAGCAAGGGGAAAGGCTGCCTGTGGCTTGCCTTTTTCTCTGGCTCTGTTCTACATCCCGAGGGGCCTGTCATGTGTGCATGTGATTTACCTTACCTTGTTTTTCCAATCTCAGTGTACACATCCCTGCCACTTGGCCACCCCTTGGGCTTAAGAGTGAACAAACAGCAGCATATAGTCTGCTCTCAGAAGTCTGAATCCTGGGAGGAGGTCCATATAGAATTTGGAAGCAAGCATGGGCCATTTGTTCAAGAAATTCCAGGGTCAATAAGAGTAGAGTAGCTCCAGGTGGGCATAGTCTGTTGAACTGTGATGAAGGGTAGGGCTCTAAAGAAGGAGACTGGGGAGCTGTCTCTCTTGCCAGGTCAAAGAGTGCTACTGCCCGGAGTACTCATGAGAGAAATCTACAGATGATCTCAATCCAAGAATCACAAAGCACCTAAGGAACACAGACACCTGGAGTGATAAATAAATAAATAAATAAATAAATAAATAAAGGAAGAATTATTTCCTGAGCAAACAGAGTAAATGGAACAGTCTGAAAAGGACTTAGGAAGTACTTTTTATATCCTCAAAGAGATAAAGGGGGAGAAATATGAAACAAGAGTATAAGCTCTTTTTTCATAAGCTATGAAAAAAATCAGTTGGAATCACTGGGAAGGAAAACTATGAAGTTTGAAATAAAATGAGCTTTAGTAGTAAAGTAGGCAGAGCTGAAGAACAAATTAGTGAAATGAAAGGTTAAATGAACAAGTATTCCAGAATGCAACATGCAAAAGTACAATAAGATTAAAAAAAATAAAAAGGTAGGAGCCTTGGGGGATTAGATTGTAAGATCTAGAAATTAAAAGTAGAGAGAATGGTGGAGAAGCAATGCAAGAAAGGATAATGGCTAATTTCCCAGAGCTGAAGAAAAATGTTAACCCACAGGTTGAAAAATTTCATTGAGGACCAACCAGGATGAATTTTTAATTTTTTTAATGTTTTATTTATTTCTGAGAGAGAGAGAGCGTGTGCGAGAGAGTGAGCGTGAGCAGGGGAGGGTCAGAGAGAGAGGGAGATACAGAATCTGAAGCAGGCTTCAGGCTCTGAGCTAGCTGTCAGCACAGAGCCCAATGTGGGGCTTGGACTCACAAACCATGAGATCATGACCTGAGCCGAAGTCGGACGCTTAACCGACTGAGCCACCCAGGTGCCCCAAATTTTAAAAAATTCATACCTACTAATACAGGACAAAGAAGACACTGAAAAGGCTGTTGGAGAGAAAAGTCAGATTACCTACAAAGGGGCAAACACCAAATTGACATTTTATAGTATTATTTTTAAAGTGCTATGGGAAAAGAATTGCAAATCTAGAATTCTTTTACCAAACTATTATTTAGGAGTGAAGGTGAAATAAAGACTTTTTATGGGATAGGGCATTTCATAGGATCTATCTCATAGAATATTGTATAGATGAAGTAAATTCATTTATGTAGGGTATTTATTAGACCAGTGCCTAGCATATAAATAAGCGTCTATAAAATGTTAGCTTTCAATCTGAATAAAAGAAGATTAAAGAATATACTTCAATAAGGAGAAAAATGGTCTCAAAACAAGAAGCAAGGTTTAAGAGTATGATGAGCAAAAAAAGAGAAAAATATATAATTAAAAGTTTTAGATGTCGAGTTCCTAAAAATAATTTTTTAAAAAAGAAGCAAGTACTAAAACTCTAGGTTAGTATTGCCAAACTATGATCCACAGGTCAAATTGGCCTATTGCCTTTTTTAATATAGCTTGGATGCTACGGATGATTTTTACTTTTTAAAATGGATGAAAAAAATTTGTTTTGTAATGTGAAATTTATATAAATTAAAATTTCAGTGACTCTAAAGAGGTTTTATTAGAAAACAGCCACACTCATTTGTTTATGTACTGTCCTGCTGTTGCACTATAATTTTTGGGAAAAAAATTTAAAAAATTTTAATTCCAGTATAATTTACAGTACTCTACTAGTTTTAGATGTACACTATAGTGATTCAACAATCCTATATGTTACTAAGCATTCATCATGATAAGTGTACTCTTTAATCCCCTTCACCTGTTTTGCCTAGCCTCCCACTCACCTCCCATCTAGTAACCACCAGTTTGTTCTCTATAGTTGAGAGTCTTTTATGTTTGTCTCTTTTTTCTTTATTGGTTTGTTTTGTTTCTTAAATTTCACATATGAGTGAAATCATATGGCATTTATCTTCCTATGACTTATTTCACTTAGCATTATGCTCTCTAGCTCTATCCATGTTGTTGCAAATGATAAGATTTCATTCATTCTTATGACTGAGTAATATTCCATGGTGTATATATACACCATTTCTTTATCCATTCTGTGGATGGACACTTGGGTTGCTTCCATAATTTGGCTATTATAAATAATGCTGCTGTAAACAAAGGGGTACACATACCTTTTGAAATTAGTGCTTTTGTGTTCTTCAGGTAAATACCCAGTATTATATGGTAATTCTAGTATTCATTTTTTGAGGAAACTACACGATGTCTTAAACAGTTTTTGCAGAAGTTTGCATTCCCACCAACAGTGCATGAGGATTCCTTTTTCTCCACATCTTTCCCAACACTTGTTTCTTGTTCTTTTTGCCATTCTGATAAGTGTGAAATATCTCCTTGTGGTTTTGATTTGCATTTCCCTGTTGATGAGTGATGCTAAGCATCTTTTCATGTGTCTATTGGCCATCTGGATGTCTTCTTTAGAGAAATGTCTGTTCATGTCTTCTGTGTCCATTTTTAATTGGATTATATGTGTTTTTTCGGTGTTGACTATATAAGTTCTTTATATGTTTTGGACATTCTGACCCTTTATCGGATAGGTAATTTGTAAATATCTTCTCTCATTTAGTAGGTTGTCTTTAAGTTCTATTGATTGCTGTGCAGAAGCTTCTTTTTTTTTTTTAAGTTTGTATATTCTGAGAAAGAGAGAAAGTGTGAGTGGGAGAGAGGCAAGGAGAGGAGGGAGCGAGAATCCCAGGGAAGCTCTGTGTCAGTGCAGAGTCCAACGTGGGGTTCCAGCTCACAAACTGTGAGACCCTTACCTGAGCCAAAGTTGGACACTCAACTGAGCCACCCAGGCACCCTAGAAGCTTCTTATTTTAATGTAGTCCCAGTAGTTTATATTTGCTTTTGTTTTCTTTGCCTCGGGAGACAGTTATCTAGAAAAATGTTGCTGTGACCACTGTCAGACAAAATATTGCCTATGTTCTCTTCTAGGATTTTTATGGTTTCACATGTAGGTCCCTAATCCATTTTGAGTAATTATTTTTGTGTATGGTGTAAGA